TTAGGCAAATCCAGCTGGGGTTTTACCTGAGTGGGAGAACAGGCTTTAGAAAATTCAAATCACTTTGTGCCCCGAGATGACTTTTCAGGGATGCTCACAGCAACGCGGGACGCCGGCAGCTTCCTCCAGACCCAGCCAGGAGCTCTGGCCCCTCACCCTGCAGCACGGCGTCCCTCCAAGGAGGGGTGCCCACATGCAGATGAGCCCAATGCAGGCATCGGAATGCGCTCATTAATGGAAATGCATTCAAATGAAAACTCCTCCTCACGCAGAGATAGGCAAATGGCTTGCAGTGTTTTTTACACCGCGTTTGCCCAGCTGTGCTCCGACAGCAGCAAGGTGAGGCACCCCTCATTTGTTTGCTTTAAACACGGAGCGAAGGCTTTCATCAGGGAAATCTCTGCCTCTGGGAGCTCTGACAGACAAGCTCTCCACAGCGTGTTTTGGCTTTGGTAACACAACTTCTTCCAATTAAGTTTCACTTAGAGATGTCCTGCTCGCCAGTACGCTCCCTGCAAGCAGTGGTTCTGCACCCAGGTGAAAAAAGAGGAGCTGGGGGTTGTGCTGCGACAAGGGCATAAAATCACAGAATCTGCAAGGTTGGAAAAGACCTCTAGGATCACCAAGTCCAGCCCCAGCCCATCCCACTGCCCACTGCCCGCGTCCCTACAGACGATGACCCCAAGTGGTCCCTTCCAACCTTGCCCATTCTGCATTCTGTGAAGCGGTCCGCAGCACCGGGGCTGGGATGTGAACTGCTCTGGGATGAAATTCCACTTGTGCCCCTTGGCAGCCCACCCCACACCAAGCAATGCCCCTCTGGTACCTCTGCTGTCCTCGCCTCTCTTCCTGAGGTCACCGCTGCGAACTGTTAGTCACCTCCTGCCTGCCCTCACATCGTGATTCATGTTGAACCTGCCTTGGAGCTATTATTTATTTAAGCCCCACCCTAATGTGTTATAACGTAGAAGTCTGAGAATGCAAAACTTAAACAGCCAAATACAAGCAGAAAACGCTACGGGATGAGCTAGGGAGCCATGGGCCCTGCTGTGTCCTGACAGATGGTGGAACTTGGGAAGATGGAATGGAGCAAAATTCAGCTCTCAAATATATATGCATATATTTTTAATATATACATGTATTTTTGAATCATTTTATCCAAGGTATCTTGGAATGAACAGCCCTCAGGGCAAGACCAAAGTAGCAGTCTGCCAAATAAGCCTATATGTGGCCCACTGTTGTGACATATTTCATATAACCAGGGTGATTTATTGCAAAAGCCAAAGAGAAAGGGGGGAGGATGAGGATGGGCAGAGGGAGCTAACCTGCAAGCCCAGGCACGGAAGTAATGGGAGCTGCTGCAGTGTGGGGCAGAGCCAGCTCCCCAGCCCCCAGCACACCAAGCTCCGGGTCTCACAACACTGAGCAGATTCCTCCTCTTCCTTCACCAGAACCTCACGTTTATCGCTCTCAGCTGCTCCCATTCACAAAAACAGGCCCCACGCTCCATGCAAGAGCCGGTGCCTGCATCTCTCGGAGGCCTTCAGCACCAATCAACACGACCCAATAAAGGAAAGACGGAGCGGACGCTGCGACCTCAGCTCCCTCGGCAGCGATCACAGAAGCACAGCACTGCAGCGCAGCGCCAGGATGCTGCCTGCTGTCCCACCGGGTGCTGCCAGCCGTGCACAGGCAGCGCTGTTTCCTCAATGCGCGTCCCCAGGCGAGGGGAATACCGGCACGGAACCGCACTGGGGGCCGGGTGATTCATCCCAGCTTGTAAAAACAGGAGACGTGGAAGTCTCTTTGTCTCCCTGGCTGCTGTGCAAGCCGACAAACTCCTCTTTGTGAGACGCTCGGCTGCTTGAAAGGATGTTAAACAAAGGAAGTTACAGCAGAGAGACTCGAAGACTAAACAGCTTGGCACCACTTTGGGGAAACATCACGTATGAAGGGGACGTGGTTTGGGGCCGAGACCCGCAGGATTGAGGCGCATGGAGCAGAGGCTGTGCCACACAGCACATACGCTGCTGGCAACGGCCCCAAGGGGCTCTGCTGGGGTTACACTGCTTATCCACCACTGCCCCGATAGCACAGTGTGGCCTTTGCTCTCCTCTGCCCTTTGAAACACAAGCAGAATGCAGCGGGCCGTGTTTATCCTAGTGGCTTCTGGCTGATGTGTGACAGCGGGAGCACGTGGGGCCGTTCTGCTCTGTCCCAGCCTGGGGTCAGGTTGTTGCCTGCTTTGCCAGCCAGCACTGCTCAGCTGAATAGAGACTTGGGTGACTGGAAGGCTCCCCCTGAGAAACACAGAATGTCCCAAGTTGGAAAGAACCTATAAGGATCATCGAGTCCAACTGGAAATGGGTTTCCAAAGCGGTGAGGGCATGAGGAAGGCATCTGGTGACAGCACCTCTGACTACTCCAAACCAGAACATTCCCACAGGCTACACATCAGGCAACGTGCCCATCTAGTCACTGCAAACAGCTCCCAGGAAGCCTGGTGTGTCTTCAAGACAAGGCAGCTGCTCTTAGGGGCAGATCCATCCCCTGCCATATAGGTATATGCTATACGATATTGAGGCCCCATAATGACCTGGGAGCTGCAGCTCCCAGTGCTGCAGCTTGGAAATTCTTCCCCTCGTTGTCATGCAGGGGTGGATGCGCTGGGCACTGAACCCCGGGAAGAAGTGGGGCTGGGGGAGCAGACATAGTGCAGCACGGGGGGTGGGCACTGGGAGAGAAACCCCCTCTGTCAGGATGCTCCAGGTCCTTCTGGGTCTGCACTGCCTGAGCTGGGAGCTGGGCATGAAGATAAATGCAGGAAATATATATGTGTATATATATATATATGTATAAAATACTAATATGAATCTGTAGATTTAGAGCCCAACGGAGCTCTAAAAGCAGTTTTGTTTTGCTGTGGTGCTGTGCCCTGCTGGCAGTGAGGATTGCCTGACGCCGGGAGAGGAAATTCCCTTCGTGTTGGCTGCGTTCCCCACAACCCGGTGCTTTTCCAGGTAGTTTTTCTCTGATGTAGAAAGCTTAGTGTGCCAACCACTGGGAAACAGAACAGCAGGCAGGGTGTGGGGCCGTCCCGCAGCCCCCAGTGGGCAGCAGAGCTGCTGGGGACGCACGCAGCCAACAGAGCTCCGGCTTTGCCCACTTCTGCCCTATTCTCACTCACAGCACAGAGTCCCACCGAGGTCCCTCGGCCCACGTGGGTCGGAGCAACGGGCTCGGTCGCTCCCGCCACCATTAGGCACACGTGTCCTCGCTTCTCCCGCTATTAACTCACATCCTAAAAAGGCACACGCACGCGCTCTACACGCTGCCTTCCGAAACCCATCAGCACGCAGCTGGGATGCGTCCTGCCCGGTGCTTCCCCACAGCAATTCCTTTTGGGTGCAGCGCTTCTGAGAATCGCCCTGCAAACACGTCCACGGAGGTCCTCCCTCTCCGCCCGCTGTTGTTGCAACTCTGGGTTTTCTAAACTACGTCTGTCAGGAAGGAGACAGGAAATTCGAGTCACACTTGCAACAGCTGTGCCGTGCCTACTATCGCGCTCGGTGACGTCGCGGGGCCGTCGTGGCTGTGGGCCAGGGCCCGGCGGTGAGGAGGTCAGCGGATCGGTCGCTGTTTGTGCCGCGCTGCGCCGGCCGCAAGCTGCGCCTCCTCGCTTTCTTCCTATCTCGGCCTGTTTCTCTTTCCGTTTTTCTTTCATACTGCGGAGCCCGAGCATCCTGTTTTCAAAACATTCGGGCTGTTTTGCTGCTTGCCGGAGACAAATGGAAATGCTTTCAGGTGTCATTTGGAGAAGAACCCAAACAGGGTTTTTTGCAGTGGGTTCACCCAAAGAGGTGACCCCGTGGCCCTCAGCTGGGAGCCCCTAAGCCGACTCACAGCCGTGCCCATCGCCCACTGGGGGAGCAGAGCATGAGGGCTCTCTTTTGCTGACAACAGCGCTGGGTTGAGCAAAAAGCAGGGGCATTTTGGGAACTTTATTATGAAAGAAAGTTTTGGGAACGGTTTTGCTGGGCCCACGTGGACAGATCACAACTTTTAATTACTCCAATCTCCAGCCAGAGCCTTTCGCCTTCACCAAGGCAGAGGTGGCACTCGGCAAACATGAAATGTCTCCAAGAGAAGGGCACTGACACGCAGCCCCGGGACACAGCCTTTGGGCACAGCTCGCCCCCCAGCCCAGCCCCTCCCACAGCCTCCAGCCCGGTTTCACTCGCACCAACTCCAAAAAAAATAACCCCATATTCCTCACTCGAAAGCCCCATCTATAAAACTTTTATTGCTTCCTTTGCCCCTGCACGTTGCAGCGATCGTGACCAGAGGAGGAAGCTGAAGCAACGCGGGATTCATTAGCTCAACTTTTCCATAAAATCAGTTTATGATTCAGCCTATCTGCTTTCATTAATTTCCAGTTAGGAAAAAAAAAAAAAAAAAAGAAAAAAAAAAGAAGAGAACAACGCCGCGGTTGTGCGGGGCAGCTCCGGACTGGATCCGGCCACGGCCGCGGGCTGCCGGCGTGGGAGCAGCAGCACAGCTGGAGCGCTGCCGGTGGGGCTGCCAACCCGCTGCGGGGGCTGCACGGCTCCGGGAACCGGGGATCCCTTCGGGGCACCCTCCCGGAACGCCGCCGCAGCGCTCTGCCCCGCGGGGCCGGAGGTACGGCTCCGATACGGGCAGCGGAGGCAGGGAACGCAAAGGCATCGCGCAGACCTCGCGCCGCGTTCTCCTTCCCCGGCGCTTCCCCCGCCCGCCTCCCTCCGCTCCCCGGCCCCGGACTCGAGCACCGCGCACGGAGCGGAGCGCCCTTCTCGCTACCGGCGGAGGGACGGGATGGGGCAGAGCGCAGACACGCATCGGAATCAGCGTTAAACCCTTCCCGAAGGACAAACCGAGCCGTTACGGACACACGACGACACCCGGGGCCATTTACTCCCGCGGTGAGGACCGCTTCCAGGCAGCCCCGTCCCGCCGCTCACCTTGTTGGAGGCCATCTCGCTGACGGAGCGGTACGTCTGGATGGTCTCCAGCTGGTCCAGGCACCAGTCGAGCTCCTCCAGCGTCTCCATGGCCAGCTTCTGGTAGGGCTCCTCTGCGAACAGGCACACGGACATGTAGTCGGGCTGTCGCGGCGGCAGGCTCTCCATTCCGGGGCCGCCCGAGCCGCCCGCCGCGCTGCCGGAGGTGCCGCTCCGCTCCCTCATCATGCGGCTGCTGCGCTCCGCCGCCCGCCCGCCCGCAAATCCCCGCCCGCCGCTGCCGCCCGGCCCCGGGCCCCCGCCCCGCCCGCCCCGGCCCGCCCCGATCCGCGCCCCGCGGGGACGGCCCGGCACTGCCTGCCCCGAGAGCCGCCCGCCCCGCCGGCACCCGGCCCGCCCCGGCCTCGGCCGCTCTGCCCCCCGGCCCCGTTCCCCGACTTCGCCTGCTCCTCGCTACGTCTCCCCAGCTCTGCTCCCCGCTGTCACTTTCTCCCGCTCCCCGACTTCACGTGCTCCTGATCCCTGACTTGCCCTGATTCCATCCCCCCAGCTCCCGCTGTCATCTCGTCCTGCCTCCCAACCCCGTCTCATCCTACTTCCCAACTTCATCTGCTCCTGATCCCCAGCCCTGCTCCCTGCCATCCAGTTCTGCTCCCCAGCATCATCTGCTCCTGCTCCCCAACTCACCTGGTCCTGCTCCCCAACCCCGGAAGCCCTGACCATCACCTTCACTAGCCCTGTACTCTGGTGGTCAGCCTTCCCAGTACCATCCACCCATGCTCCCCAGAAGCCCATGTACCCAACCCTACCAGCCCCTCTCCCCAGCCCTATCATCCCACTCCCCAACTCTACCAGACCCGCCCCCCAACCCTACCAGTCTTGCTTCCCAACCCTACCAGTGCTGCTCCCCAACCAACTACCAGCCTTCCCTCCAACCACACCAGCCCCACTTCCCAACACTATCAGCCCTGCTCCCCCTGTTCTCCAACACTTCCAGCTCTGCTACCCCAACCCCACCAGCTCTGCTCCTCAGCACTGCCAGCCTTGCCTCCATCCCCACCAGCTCCGCTCCCCAACCCCACAAGTTTTGCTCCCAATCCTTCCAAGCTCTGTTCCTGAACCCCACTGGCCCCGGCTGTTCTGTGTCGGTCCCCAACCCCAGCACCCCGCTCCCCCCAGCCCCTGCCCACAGCCCCACCGAGCTCTGATGACCCTGCCAGAATGACAGCGTGCTCCCGAGAGGCTCCTGCTGTCCAAGTTAAGGTTTACATAAGCGGATACGGTGAATCATAAAATCTCCCGATGAATGTAACTGCTTCTCATAATACCAACGACATACGCTTACCCCATAAATCTGTCCAAGCTAATGAGTTCAGCGTTTCTGATGGCACAGGCTGAGCAGGTAACAGTGACATCAGAGGGCAGGATTGCTACGATATACTCGGGATAAGCCATACAGCACACGCTGTGTGTGCAGCTGCCCCACGGCTGTGCTCCCATGGGCTCCCTGCACAGCCCCCCACGCTGCTCTCTGCCTTCACCAGGAAAGCACTCCTCATCCTCACCCGGAGCCACGGAGCAGCTGAACCCCTGAGGAAGGGCCGAGCAGGAACCCCACGTTCAGCGTTTGAAGTTGCAAAGCAGAAAACTCACGCTGCCAAAGAGAACCTCATGAAAGAGCTATCAGGGAGCACTTGGCACAGCTAAAGAAGCAGTGAGTCTGAACCTCTGTGTCATCAATAGGGATTTTTTTTCTTTTTTTTTTTGCTGTGCTCACAGAGCTCCAAACATGGCAAGTGATCTCTCACGGAATGCATACTTCGGTGCTACATAAAAGCAGGTAGACACAGCCAAAACACACAGAACTCGAGCATATTCCTCTCTCTAACTGCCCGCTGCTCCCCCTATCAACCACTTTATCATGTAAATTAGTTGAGCTGGAAGGGCTCCAATCCCTTCCAATAGAAAATGTCTGCACTGATAAAAGTAACAGAGACTAAATCACTCTTTCAGGAGCAGGAAAAAAACCGCCTCATCAGGCAAACTAAACAGGGGCTGCCCGTCTGTTTAAATAATGGGCTGCAACGTGTTACTGCAGCGCGGTCTGCGCCATCATTTTAAAGCCGATTGCGAGCCACGGCCGATGCTGGGAGGGGACAGGAGGAGAAGAGCCCGGCGGGGGTCTGCAGCCGTGCCTGGGGTCGGGGCTGAGGGGAAGGCCTGCCGCGTCCTGCGTGAAGGACACTGCTGTGAGCGTCGTCTTTCAGAACTCAGCTGAACCGAACCGGGGCTTTGGGCACACTGTCACCCCCCGTGCACCCCCCAGTGCAACCCCACTGCCGTCCCTTGGGCTCCTCTGTCCTCCCCGGGTTTGGGGTTGTGACTCATCTCAACTTTTTTGCATTATGGAACCATATCATAGAATGGCCTGGGTTGCAAAGGAGCACAACGCTCATCAGTTCCAAGCCCCTGCTGTGTGCAGGTCGCCAACCAGCAGCCCAGGCTGCCCAGAGCCACATCCAGCCTGGCTCTGAATGCCTGCAGGGATGGGGAGGCATCTCATTCATTTTCCTAAGTCAGTGAGGTTGATGAAAGGAGGTTCTGACTGCACGTCCCTCCTGTCTGCCTATCCCTGTCCCACTGTGCCCTGAGCCCTGGTCAGCACCACTGTGACTGTGCACAGAGCAGTGGGGACAGTGCTGGCCGTGATTGCGTGGATAAGGCTGAAGACCCCCCACGTGAAGGTCCCACAGCCATCAGCACTGCCACAGCCCTGCTGAGCTCCTGGAGTACAGGCAAACAGCAGCACCAGGCGGGATGCAGCCTCCTGGAATACAGCCTGACGTCTCCAACTGCGTCAGGTTTCAGTTTGTATCGGGGTGTTGCACAACCAAACCCTCACCCATCACCTTTCCCCCTCGTTCTAATGGGTATTTCTGCCAGTTTTCCCAGGCATGAGGTATCGAGGGGAGCCCCTCCACGCTGGTGGTGCTGGGGCTGGGTAGCAGGACAGCAGGACAGCACAGCTCCAGGCCTCTACAGGCATTAAAATACAAAATCTCGTATTTTAATGCATTTTGTTGCAGTTGATTGACTGCTGCAGCTATTCTGCAACAACCGCCCTTTGGTATTATTCACCATCTCTTCTGTTTCCACCTCAGACTCAACTTCCTCCTGCTGCAAAAAACAGCCGCTTCCCATGGACTGCAGCTTCACTCGCTGACCTCCATTGAGAATGCAAGACCTACAAGAGGCTCCATCAAAAAATACTTTCCACATGGAAAAAATGCCAAGGTAACCTTTTGCAGTGGAGGTCAGAAAGCCAGTCACTGCCACTCGCAGCAGTCCTAAGCCTATGGGACAGCCTGCTCCGTACACAAAGCCAGCTGTTCCCCGTGCCAGCGAGACACCTTCTGGCTTATGTACTTCCTTAAAAACCCTAACAATACACATTGTATCACCTGGGACTCAGGAGAGGATCTTCACACAGCCCATTTTTAATTACATAACATTACATTCATTATCCATCCCTGTCAGTGCCGTCATTGTTACAGAAGATAAGAAATGCTGATAAGATGGCAGATCCTCTGTTAATCATCTGAATGACAGATCATTACTTGGGAGCAGTGCAGACAGTGCTCGTGTTTACTGAAGGCTTCATTTATGTTGCTCGGCCTTCGACTGCTCACGAATAAGTGCTCACACGTGAGCAGGCAGCAGGCTGGGATATCAGCATGCACACAAAGCATTTTTTTGGAAAACAAGTGGAAGTCCTGGTGGAAGTCCTTCCTGTGGGATCCTCACAGTCCTGGGCCACAAAAGCCAAACCAGCTGAACTCACCTGCAATGCACTGAGCCCCCAGGTGTCCTGGTGTAGGTCAGGGAGAAGAGGAAAGGGGACAGGGGACGTCCCTGGAGGTGTTCAAGGCGAGGTTGGATGGGGCCCCGGGCAGCCTGGTCTGGTATTACATATGGAGGTTGGTGGCCCTGCATGCAGCGGGGGGTTGGAGCTTGTTGATCCTTGGGGTCCTTTCCAACCCAAACCATTCTATGATTTCATGATTCTATGATTCTGTAATTCTATGATTCCATGATTCTAAGACAGGGGAAAATGGAAAGAGTGAAAGGGAAAAGGGAAAGAGAAAAGGAGTAGGGAAAAAGGGAAAAGAGAAAGGAAAAGGGTGAAAGGGAAAGGGGAAGAAAAAGAAGAAAGAAGAAGAAAGAAAAAAGAAGAAGAAAAATAAAGGAAAAGGAAATGAAAAAAGAGAGGAGAGAGTGGCGGCCTGGAGCTGGAACGAGGCACGCGGGCGGTCACGGCTCAGACAAGTCAACCAGATGCACATCACTGGCAGTGCTCCTCCAGCCCCCTTCCAGCAGAAGAACATGCCCGTGGCACACTGGGGAAGCCAGGTTCGTTATGTGCCCCCACTCAACTCCTAGCAGCGCCCAGCATCACGGCAGCCGCGGGCAGAGCGCGTGCTCAGCAGAACAGGTCCACCAGCAGCAACACGCCGAGGCCTGCTGCAGCAGGGCTGAGCACGGGCTGCCAGCCACCCGCCCTCCCCTCCCTAATGCCTCTGCGGTTGTTTACAGATCGTGCGGACATGTTTACATATTTATCCCCAACAATGCCGGGTGAATAACTGACACTACTTAATTTATTTGTTTAATGTATCCTGTTAGCGCGTTCATGGCTGCCCGTGAGCAGGGAGCCGTTTCCTTGAATTAAGCCATTGTTCTAACAGATCCTGCAAACAGATTTGAGAAAATTGTTTTGGAGATGGGTTGGGAAATTCACAGGAAACAAAATAAAAGGAGCAGAGCACAACTGCAGAGATTCATTTAACGTTGGAGGTGAATGTTCCTGAGCCTCCTAGCACTTACAGCTTGATAAAGCCCACATCCCTGTACGACCTTGCCTTTCCACATCTGAGGTGTCAACCAAAGATTTACAACTTTTTCTCAAGCAAGGAAAAAGCCTAAAAGGAGAGCAGCAGATGCCCCACAGCAAGACCTCCAACAGAACGAGCTGCCACCAGCAGTGCACACACACCATCCCACCTCTGGGTCCGCGACACTGCTCGGGAGCAGGGCTGCAGTCACCGAGTTATCT